AGTAAGCCATAGTTTTCTAATTTGGACAGTGCTTTTTACACTACACCCCTTAACTGAACAGTATTTTAATCTTTTTTAAAAAGGTGAGCTAACCCATTCATTTGTGCACCTAGAATCTTAAAGTAGAACTATAGACAAAACTTAGTTTTTTTCATTTTGGATAGAGTAAGGGAGGGTTATAACCCCTGTAGGGTTTATTTGTGCTGTCTGTGTCCCGTTGGGGAGATTCCCTGTGCAATTCCTGCAAATTAAGGAAATTTCTTGAGGACTCCTCGTCCCCAGAGTTTGTGTCCCCATATGAAGATTTCTCCTCTATTCCTGTTCTGAGGACAGAATTTGGGATTTTTCTTTTACTTTCACTTTCAATGATCATGGTCAATGGGCCAAATAAAGAAGATGAATCTCCCTAACGGAGACACAGACACCAATACAAGGTGTTTTAGTCCCTCTCCATTCTGTTGCCTTTAGTTATACTTTAAATGTGGCTAATCCTGTTGTGTAACATTCCTCATTCTTTGGCATAGTGTCAGTGTTAGGAACAGAGTCCGTGTTTACAGACCATTTGGTTAAAAGAGCACAAAAAACATTTTGGGGTAGGGAACAAATCATCCAGACAGTCATGTTTATTTTTTAAACTTTATGATGATAATGATTATTAACCTCCCTGGCGGTCTGATTATTTCAGATTTTTGATGCTGAAAGCGGTACATTTTTTTGCATGGAAATATGTATTTTTTTTTTATTGTAGGCTGTAATTTAGGAATAACTCACTGAAATCTGTCCGAACAAGAGTCTAGTAAACATCCCGGGTAGGATAAAACTTGAAACACGAAATTATAATTTATAAATAATCATAAAAAATAATATAATAATAAATTTAATTCAATAATATAATCAAACCAAAAACACTGAAATTTGAAATAGAGCGCCAAGTTCGCACATCGCTGAGCAAAGTCGCAAAATCGTTTTCAGTGTCTGATGAGGAATTTCCCCCACGAATCATTATCACTCAATTCTGCAAGTGGTTCTGATTTACTATCGCTGTTCTCTAGCCGGTCTAAAACCAATTTTGACCTAAAGGGACGCTTTTTGGACGCCATGGACTTTTCTAAGTTTCCAGGCAGAAAGAACAGTAAAAATGCAGGCAGGGCGCCGGACAAAGTACTCGGGACAAAATGTATGTGAAATGGTTTGATACAGGAATGTTATACTATGTGATTTTAGTGAATGTCACTTTTTGTCATTTTCAAATTTCCCCCCGGTTCCGTCCCCCGTACGTCCCGACGCTCGCAGGGGACGGAACCCAGATGACAGATGCCGGCATCCACCGATTACATTGCCGGGGACACTGCAGGAGGGACACCGCGGGAGCGCAGGACAAGGTAAGTGATCGAGGGATCCCGGCGCAGCGCCGCATGGTGTTCCCGAGTGTAGCTCGGGGTTACCGCTTGTGGTACTGAAACTTTACCCCGAGCTACACTCGGGAATACCGCCAGGGGGGTTAATATTAGAAGTAGCAGTAGAGGTATTAGTCATTTATATTCGATTTTAGACCCCAATCTCCTATAGATTCAGTGTAGCTAGTATCCAGTACACATTCAGTTTTTGTTAATAGATTTTTTTTATTGGCTTTTCTGCATAAGAAGATTGTGCAGTTAACTTGAAGTGAGTTTAGAGAAACAAACAGGATATGTTCAAGGTACAACTACTATAATATGACCCCTCCCTCCCTTCCAATCTGGGACTGCAATAGGTAGGAGTATGTTCATAAGTTCTTAGTGATTGGCAGGTATGGAGAATGTGTAAACAATGTAAAATGCTTTCAAACAGTGAAACTTGGCTTTGCAATGATGATAAAGAAAATCTGTAAGGACCGACAGAGGCCAACTTTACCATCCTTTCCTTTTTAAGAACGCTAGTTTCCTGGCTAATATGGTCATTTTTTATGACCATCAACTACTATTGCAGAAGCTCTTGCTTCACTCCCACTTTGCTTACTGGCTGCTTGGTCGTATCTGACTCTGGAAGCTTTAAAGGCAGAGCAACCAGTGTTTAATTTTTTATTTTTTTTAAGCGGACCCTTGAATTTATTTATTTTTTATAGCCTTCACTGTCTGCTGGAGCCCAGATTGGAACTAGCTTCTAAATTCTGCACTAGGCTGTCCACACCTGCTCCGTCCAATTCCAAATCCTGGCATGAATATTCAAACAATTATTATTGCCCTTTGATTTGAGACTGTAGATGGTAGTCGGATATACAGTCATATTTCCGCCAACTTCAGGGCTTTAAAAATAGATTTAAATCCACTCAATAAAATTTCATGTAAGCTGTAACATGTCACTGTAATTGCAAAATTTGTTTTTGTAGTCCTTTTAATTATCCAGCTTTCATTAAAATAATAGCTGACGATTCTGCCATGAAGGTCCTTGTTAAGTATATCATGTTATGGACGCACATTGTCTATGCATGGTCCATTATTATCACTAACAGGAAGTCTGGAGTAATTATGTGCATGTAGACAGGACATTGCGGAAAGAAGCTGTAGGACAGTGGTTCTCAACCTGTGGGTCGTGACCCCTTTGGGGGTCGAACGACCCTTTCACAGGGGTCCCCTAAGACCATCAGAAAACACATATTTCCGATGTGTAAAGAGCAGCTACTGTGTAGAAAGCAGCTACTGTGTAGAAAGCAGCTACTGTGTTGAAAGCAGCTACTGTGTTGAAAGCAGCTACTGTGTTGAAAGCAGCTACTGTGTTGAAAGCAGCTACTGTGTTGAAAGCAGCTACTGTGTTGAAAGCAGCTACTCTGTTGAAAGCAGCTACTGTGTTGAAAGCAGCTACTCTGTTAAAAGCAGCTACTGTGTTGAAAGCAGCTACTCTGTTAAAAGCAGCTACTGTGTTGAAAGCAGCAGTATTGGAGGTAAAACGACACTCATGAATTATAATTACTGGGTAAATTATTTTATGGTTGGGGGTCACCACAACATGAGGAACTGTATTAAAGGGTCACGGCATTAGGAAGGTTGAGAACCACTGCTGTAGGAGGTCAACACTGAGATGCAAAAATATGATGAAAATACATGAAAATTGTATTTTATAACAAAAATATGACAGTTGTTTGTGTGATACACAGTGGTCTATCAAACTCAATAGAGTAGTGTTGGATTAGAGTTTAGGTCTACTATTGAAGCCTAAGGTTGCCACTAAAAATGAAAAGACAAGTAGACATGCTGGCAGAATCCCTACTGTCCCTAGTGCTTAAAATCTCTGATATGCAAGAGTCCGTTTGTCCCTTTTTCAGGGGGTGTGGGATCGTATGACCACTATGATGCTCAACGAACAGATGTTGAGTATATGCAACGACTCCCAACGTAAATTTTTGAAAATATGGGAGCCATGGTTGCAATATGCCTTTCCCACGCTCCCCCGGATAGTATGGGGATGTAATGGCGTTTGACATTCACGTTCGGTATTGGAGCTCTTGGACCCCTGCTCTTTGTTTTTTTTTTTTTTTTTTTGTTTTGTTTTTTTTTTTTTCCTTCTCTCTTTTTCTGTTTGTTTTTGGTGTGACAGTGGACAGCTGCCTTTAGTTGTTATAGTCAGTTACATTAATGTTATTGTAACTTATGTGCCATTGATATCCCCTGCGTGGGCGTACCTTTTGCCTTGTTGGAGTTAGAGCACTGTTTTCTCTATTATGCTTTTTTTTTTATTGGTGCAATTGATAGCCCCTACGTGGGCGTGTTTTGTTGCCTCTGTTTTATACTGTTTAAAATTAAAATTAATAAAAAACCATTGAAATGCAAAGTTTAAAAAAAAAAAAATCTCTGATGTGCTACAGTATGATTTTGGCATTGCGGAGAAAGAAGTAAACTAAGAGCCAGCCCATTCTGCTTTTGCCATATATCTTGTCTGGAGGGAGAACAGTACTGGTTAGGAAAAGTTCCTAAACCTTCTTATTTATCTTTTACATGACAGCTGCCAATCAGTGAGCTTCTGTCACCCTCTATAGACACCAGATTTTGCCTGGCACAAGCTAAAGGCAGCTCATATATATATATATTTGTTGAAGAGAGCTTTACAAGCTTGTAAGCTCACCTGCTAAGCCAGTGGTACTCAACCTTCCTAATGCCGTGACCCTTTAATACAGTTTCTCATGTTGTGGTGACCCCCAACCATAAAATTATTTACCCAGCAATTATAATTCATGAGTGTCGTTTTACCTCCAATACTGCTGCTTTCAACACAGTAGCTGCTTTCAACACAGTAGCTGCTTTTAACAGAGTAGCTGCTTTCAACACAGTAGCTGCTTTCAACACAGTAGCTGCTTTCAACACAGTAGCTGCTTTCAACACAGTAGTGCTTTCAACACAGTAGCAACTCTTTACACATCGGAAATATGTGTTTTCTGATGGTCTTGGGGGACCCCTGTGAAAGGGTCGTTCGACCCCCAAAGGGGACGCGACCCACAGGTTGAGAACCACTGTGCTAAGCTAACACATTTTTATCAGCAGAGAGAGGTGGAGGGAGGAAGCCATACTTACAGTTCCAATTGCTCACTCCACTCAAAACAGCAGGCAGATGAAAAGTGTCAGGTGTGACCCCTAGGCATAAGATCATCACTCTCAAATTGTCATATCACATCTATTTAATTTTTCAATGTAGCCGCTAAAAGCTGTCTGGAGTATTGGGATCAGGTGCCTTTTCACTTTCTCTGAATTTTTTTTATTTTAGTTATTCCAGAATAGTTCACATCTGAGGATCTTTGAATAAAAGTGTGGTAACAAAAATACCATTTGAAACCTAACAACTTTCAACATTTATTTGTATTTTCAGGCTTTAAAAATAAAACAAGTATTAAGTAATAAAAACAGACTTGTGCATGATACCTTGAAAGTTTTTCTTTAAATCATTGTCTTTTTCCTTGCGGCAGTGTGTGTAGTTGCTTTTTAATATGAATAAAAATGAGTAACACTTGAATGTACTATTCTTCATCTCAGGAGGATTCTGACCGGGCCAGGTACTCTCACCGGTCCAGTCATCGTCCACTACTGGTTTGTACCATTTTTTCATTTTAGGTTCTCACTGGTGGCATCTTCCAACACTAATCGTTTTTCTTTATGATTTCTTCTTTTAAGGAGACTTCAGGGTTGACCACTAGACGAGGTCTTGAAACTCATAGGGTTAGTGTGCTTCAAAGTTTTTATAAACGCATACTATAAGAGATAAAATAGTATTTTTTTTTTATACTGAATCTGTGTGACGCTACATTAGCAACAGGCTTTCAGCATGGCTGGTTTGTGATGTTGTGGAGTGCAAAATCCCCATTAGCTTTCCAGCTCTTCGTTGGTGCAAAATAGAATGCATCAGCAGCCAGACAGTTGCTTTGGCTGGAAACTGAGGAGGAACCAGAGGATGCAAATTTTATAATATACTATCAATGGATTTCTTAGAAGTTCTCAGAATTTTTAAGGCAACCATTGCTGAACTCTCATTATGAAAGTTCTAATTGCTTGACTGTGCTGTTGACCATGCAGGTTTCAAGGCTTTCTGGGCCACGGACCTGGAATATGTATGCTAATCAGGTTGTGTTTTTTTTTTTTTTTTTAACTTCCCTTGCCCCTATACTTGTTCAGGTCATTTACCATGTTATATTTTAAAGGGTTTTTTTTTTCTGCCTGTAAACTGCCTTGCCACTAAACTCCTGAAAATGTAGGTGAACATTTTTCCAGTGGGGTGACAGAAACAAGACACCTGTAAATTTTTAATCTTTCCCACCCTATACAAAACCAGCAATTTTAATTTGGCTAGAGTTGGTTCTAGATAAGGTTACAAAACAGAGCCATGGAGCAAACCCCAGCTCGGCAATAATCTGTACAATTATAGTTGCAATAAAATGAAACAACTATAGAAAAACAACAACAGGTGCTGAGTACCAGCATAGAGGAGATCCGCAGGGTAAATCAAACAGTTACAGCTTCAGGCATAGACTCAGGAGCCAAAGAAGCAACTTCCCTTTCTCCACACCAAGATACATCCCTTATGTGGGCAGAGCTCAGAAAACACAATGGGAATTGCAAAGTATACTCCTAACTACTCACCCAATTGTTTTAGAGGCTGTAGAGACCTAGGAACGCATTTCCACATATGGTGGGATTGTCCAGTCACCCAAGCTTTCTTGATTGAAATCTTCCATATATTATCCACACTCAGCGCCACCAAGTTACAACCCAACCCAGCCACAGCCCTACTCAATCAACGCCCTCCTGGTATTACCAATTCAGAATTCAAACTTCTTCTGCAAGTCACTACAGCGGCCAAGCAGGTCATAGCGAAATCCTGGAAATCCCCCACCTTAAACATCACAGCTGTTAAATCTAGAATAACGCAAGCTATGATACACGTAAAGGTGGAAGCCACGATTCTTGACACGATCCCTAAATTCTTAAATGTTTGGAGCCCCTGGGTGGAATGTTTTCTCCCACCTAATTTTGACGAATCCCTTCTTCTTCCTTGATTCTCGTACAGAGCACCTTGGACACTGCTACCGACCCACCCTACGTGGTGCCTGCCTGTTACCATGTTCCTCCTTACCGCTCATGGAGTCATTGCTGTTACCCTTTTTCTCCCCCTTGTCCTCACCTACCCCCTCTTCGACCCTCCTCTAAAGCCCCTTAATCTTTCACAACGTTCCAGTGAGTCATTATCCTAACTGATCGAAATTATGAATCCATTGTTGACAACCCCCAATCATTTGCTATCATTAGAAACCTTGCACTGTTTTTGCGATATATTTTTCCATTTTCACCATAAGGCCACTGCTATTGTGTTGCCTATTCCCAACGTTATGTTATCAGTACAATTTCTGATGTATATTGATGATGTCTCTCTGCCTTTGTTACATTGGTTTTACTGTTAATAAAACGTTTGAACAAGAGAACACAATGGGGTCCTGCCCACAGGAGGGAGATACAATAATCACAACATAACATATAGAAGGGTAACTCTGGTCATGGGGCCGAGGGGGCTACGTAGGAACCAGTGGTGGTATCTGATTCTACCCAAAGGTCTGGCTAGAGTTAGACTTTAACGTTTTTATTGCTGGAAACTTCCTTGATACGTGTTTTCACACATTTTGTTAATTGATTATTACATTATACGGCCATAGGTGATGCGATTTTCTATCCTGCAGCCATGAGTTGTAGGAAAGAAAGTCACTCGTTTCCCCCATTAACAAGGTCAGTGTTGATAAGGGAATCTCTCCCATGGAGCTGTTGTGTTCTTCCAGTGGTGGTGGGGGGGGGGGGGCACGGGCAGCTATAATCGCATCCTAAAAATCCAACTTGCTGGTTGTACCCAAGTTGATCCATCGATTGACTTGGGTGCACTCAGCCTGCCCATCCATGGACTGACTCTCAGCCGGTCTCTGCTGAACCGTCCAAGATTCGAACCATATATGGCCGGCTTAACCCTTTGAGGACCATAAGATTACGGACGCCAAAAGAATCAAGTTTTTGTTTTTAAAGTTTGTATACTTCAGTTGCTGTAACTAAGCCATTTCATGAAATAATTGGCAAAAAGCTAGATCCATTTGTTGATCAGAACTAATATTTTGACTCAAATAAAAAAAAAAAAAAAAAAAGTATTTTAAGTTCTTAATCAGATGATACAGGCAATTAAAAATATGGGACAAATACGTCCCTTGGTCCTCAAAGGGTTAAGTGTTGTCATTTTATTTAACATATGTTTTGGATAATGTGCCATTTTTGGATGTTGTAAACATAAACGTTTGTTAACTCTTAAGAGCTCATTGTTGGATGTCGGTGGCTCGCACAAAGGCAGAGACAGTACTTCCAGGAGGAGAGACCTTGTGGTGTGTACTTAAAGCATGCAGTGCTTCATTTAGACACTTTTGTGACCGTGCATGTTGTAAGTTATGAGTTTGGTGATCAAAATATAAATTTCATCTTTACTGGCTTTTTTTACTCAGAGACAAAAAGATGGATGCTTTAATGCATTTTCATTGAAAAGCAACTTAATAGCATGCTGCACTGAAAACTCTAGATATCACTGTGCTTTTGTGGATTTCAGCAGAGAGGTCATTATGTGCACTTTTTACATTCATCCTATTGTGCTTTTAAGATGCAAAACTAATATATGAATCCTAACACCTGCCTTGGTAAATAGAATTTGCAGCACAGTGGCTAAATGGTTAGCACTTCCGCTTGGCAGTACTAGGGTTGCTGGTTCGAAATCCCAACCACCTGCCTGGAGTTTGCATGTTCTCCCAGTGACTGCGTGGGTTTCCTCCGGGTACCCCGGTTTCCTCCCACACTCCAAAGACATGCTGGTAGGTTAATTGGCACCACAGTGGCTAAATGGTTAGCACTTCCACTTGGCAGTACTAGGGTTGCTGGTTCGAATCCCAACCACCTTCCTGGAGTTTGCATGTTCTCCCTGTGACTGTGTGGGTTTCCTCCGGGTACTCCGGTTTCCTCCCACACTCCAAAGACATGCTGGTAGGTTAATTGGCACCAGTCTAAATTGTCCCTAGTAGTGTATGTATGAATGTGAGTTAGGGACCTTAGATTTGTACACCCCTTGAGGGTTAGGGACTGATGTGAATGTACAATATATATGTAAAGTGCTGCGTAAATTTACAGCGCTGTACAAGTACCTGAAATAAATAAATAAGAATGAAGATTTGTTGAAAACTTTGTAGCAGTAAACAAATTCTTATTTCCGACACCTTGATTAATAACATCAGCTGTCACAGAGTCCCCGAAAGATGGTGAGATGTACCAATCGACCTCTCTTCCACCACCCTGCTGGAAGATTTCTGTTCACCGATCAGCGCAGAAGGGCTGCATACCTTCAGTGCTGATCAGTGTATTCTGACAGTGGGGATGTCCTTAACTCTGTGGAAGCTTCCCTCTCCCTAAAGGAAATGGGACCCCACCCCTCAGGTTCTTATATCTGTGACCAGTTGTTCTCTATCCACCTCTTTGTGATTATCTGAGCCGCCTCAAGCAAATGGTGGATTGGGCCACCAACAGGGGCTCACCCCTAGGCTGTGGTTTTGTTTTTGTGCCTAGTGCCCCACTTTCTGCATGCTGTGTTCTGACTGAACAGTCGATCTTTTAGATCTCTGATGTCGCCTTGAATAAATGAAGAAAAAAAGACTTTATAAACAAGAAAAAAACATAATTAAAGCTAACCTTAACACTAACTTTGAGTGCCCAGATTTTGCGATGGTATTGGGCAGGTTTGAATGATAACTACTGATTGGTTTATTGTGTGCAAAAATGTTTGTTAAACAATAACATGGATTTGGTGGGAGTTGCATTTTGTGTGCAATATGGTTGTTCAATATGTGTTGTCATTTTGTTTTTCATTTTTTTAAAACCATTTTCCCCACCCTGTGTTCTGGTACATGAAGTTGGACATTTTGAAAGATAAATCTTCGAAGTCAAGCAGACATGGAACAGATGTATGTACCAGCCTAATGTTCCCTTTCATGTATAATATTTGCAATTTATTTTTTAGCACAAAACCTAACAACAATTCCCTTCACATAAATAAAGTACTTTTTTTGGCTTGTTGTGCTGCTGATATTTTTGTTTGTAAAATTAAGTAATTTTAGTACAACTCTGGGAAATGAGGAAAAGTAGTTGTTGGCAATGACAAATAGTATAACTCAATCATTATTATTATTATACAGGATTTATATAGCGCCAACAGTTTGCTCAGCGCTTTACATTATAACAGGAGACAATACAGTAACAATACAGTTCAATACAAGAGGGGTAGGAATGCCCTGATCCTTGGAGCTTACAATCTAGGAGGGAGGGGCTAGTGGTACAAAAGGTAGTAACTGTGGGGGATGGAGTGGCTGGAAGAGTAGAAGATTCCAGTATTAGCTGAGGGCAGGATAGGCTTCCCTGAATCATGCAAGATTCTTTTCTTCATGTTTGTCAACATTTTCAACGGCTTCAGAGCCCAGGAAAATCTTTCTTCCAGTGTTACTGCTAAGTGCTTCTGGGAATTCTGAGGACCACCAAAGTGATTTGCAGTACAAGTACTGTAGAACAATCCGGAATTTTGGCTTGAATTGAATGGCCTAAATTTCATACGTTGGTGATATTGACCCTCTTATAAAGCAGATATCAAAAGCTCAGCCTCTCTAGAGTTTGAATAGACATCCGGAAACAACTGGTGTAAATATTTAGTTCGACGATAATTTTAAGCCTGGAAAAAAAAAATAGGAGGCTGCTAATGGTAGGTTTTTACTTGTTCTTCTTTTACACTAGTGTTTTTTTTAATAGGAGAGTATTGTACATAAAGTACTACATGTTGCTTAAGTTATATTAATGCAGCGTCATGTTTTTTTTTTAAACATTTATGGATTATTTAATAGGGACTCCTTTGCCCGAAAAATACTCTAAAAAGATGGCACCTGCAAAAGAAGAATATTAATGCTTCTCTAATGGGCAGTGAGTACTGACGTTACTCACTTTAAGTCAGGGGTCCTCAAACTTTTTAAACAGGGGGCCAGTTCACTGTCCCTCAGACCGTTGGAGGGCCGGACTATAGTCTATAAAAAAAAAATCAGAGGGAGGATAGTGTCAGCGGATGGAATAGTGCCCCATCATAAGTGTCAGTGTGGGAGGAATAGTGTCCCATCATTAGTGTCAGTGGGAGGAATAGCGCCCCATCATTGGTGTCAGTGGGAGGAATAGTGCCCCATCATTGGTGTCAGTGGGAGGAATAGCGCCCCATCATTGGTGTCAGTGGGAGGAATAGTGCCCCATCATTGGTGTCCGTGAGAGGAATAGTGTCCCATCATTAGTGTCAGTGGGAGGAATAGTGCCCCATCATTGGTATCAGTGGGAGGAATAGTGCCCCATCATTGGTGTCAGTGGGAGGAATAGTGCCCCATCATTGGTGTCAGTGGGAGGAATAGTGCCCCATCATTGGTGTCAGTGGGAGGAATAGTGCCCCATCATTGGTGTCAGTGGGAGGAATAGTGCCCCATCATTGGTGTCAGTGGGAGGAATAGTGCCCCATCATTGGTGTCAGTGGGAGGAATAGTGCCACATCATTAGTGTCAGTGGGGGGAGGAATAGTGCCCCATTGTTGGTGTCAGTGGGGGGAGGAATAGTGCCCCATCGTTGGTGTCAGTGGGGGGAGGAATAGTGCCCCATCGTTGGTGTCAGTGTGGGGGGGGGGATAGTGCCCCGTCATTGCTGTCAGTGGGAGGAATAGTACCCCATCATTGGTGTCAGTGGGGGAAGGAATATTGTTGCATCGTTGGTGTCAGTGGGGGGTGGAATAGTGCCCCATCGTTGGTGTCAGTGGGGGGTGAGGAATAGTTTGCAGACACTCGGTCTTCAATGTGTGCTGTGGTTTCACCTTCTGGCTGCTACTTCACCATGAGAGGCATTAGTAATGAAGCAGCCAGCAGGAGGAGCCACAGCACACATTAGGCCAGGTATTTGACACACCTGAAACCGCGTCAAATGAAAATTCTTCAACGGCCATAGCTCTTGGGGAAACCTATACTCTGTCAGATAGATGAGCTTTAAAGGACTTCTTTTCCAGGGGCCACAGTTTTATCTGGTTAACATGCCTTTGTGGCATTGCATTGTGTAGTGCATATGCCTCTTCTAATATACCTAAATATTAATGACAACCTTGCAAAATATGTGAAAAGTGAGAGCATATCTTGAAAATATGAATATCTGTTATTCTGATATTCTATATCTGTTATCTACTATTACAGTAGATAGAGTTTTTGTTCTAGGGCACAGACACCTGCACATACTTATAAAGTTGTGTATGTATATATACACTATATTGCCAAAAGTATTGGGCCGCCTGCCAGTACACACACATAAACTTTAATGGCATCCCAGTCTTAGTCCGTATTGAGTTGGCCCACCCTTTGCAGGTATAACTGTTTCAACTCTGGGAAAGCTGTCCAGGAGGTTTAGGAGGGTGTGTCTATGGGAATATTTTTAACATTCTTCTAGAAGCGCATTTGTGAGGTCAGGCACTGATGTCAGCGAGAAGTCCTGGCTCACAGTCTCCGCTCTAATTCATCCCAAAGGTGTTCTATCAGGTTGAGGTCAGGACTCTGTGCAGGCCAGTCAAGTTCCTCCACCCCCAACTCCATGTCTTTATGGACCTTGCTTTGTACACTGGTGCGCGGTAATGTTGGAACAAAAGGGGGCCATCGCCAAACTGTTCCCACAAATTGGGAGCATGAAATTATCCAAAATGTCTCGGTATGCTAACACCTTAAGAGTTCCCTTCACTAGAACTATGGCGTCAAGCCCAACCCCTGAAATACAACCCCACACCATAATATCCCCTCCACCAAACTTTACACAATGCAGTCAGTCAAGTACCATTCTCCTGGCAATCGCCAAACCCAGACATGTCCATCAGATTGCCAGACAGAGAAGCGTGATTCATCACTCTAGAGAACACGTCTCCACTACTCTAGAGTCCAGTTTACACCACGGCATCCGACGCTTTGCATTGAGCTTGGTGATGGAAGGCTTGGATGCAGCTGCTCGGACATGGAAACCCATTCCATGGAGCTCTCTACGCACTGTTTTGCTAATCTGAAGGTCACGCAAAGTTTGGAGGTTTTTAGCTATTCTGCAGACAGTTTGGCGACTTCTACGCACTGTGCGCTTCAGCATGCGTTGACCCCCACTCTGTCATTTTACGTAGCCTACCATTTCGTGGATGAGTTGCTATTGTTCCCAGTTGCTTCCATTTTGTTAAAATACCACTAACAGTTGACCGTGGAATATTTATTAGCAAGGAAATTCCATGGATGGACTTATTGCACAGGTGACAACCTATCACGGGACCATGCTTGAATTCACTGAGAGCTCCTGAGAGCGACCCATTCTTTCACAAATGTTTGTAGAAGCAGTCTGCATGCCTAGGTACTTGATTTTATATACCTGTGGCCATGGAGGTGATTGAAACACCTGAATCACATGATCTGGAGGGCTGTCCCAATACTTTTGGCAATATAGTATGTATATATGTGTATATATAGTTATGACTGAATTTTTAAAAAAAATTCAAACCAACTTACTATGCACAACACTGTTTCAACTGTTTTAACTTTAATGTAAGAATGCATTTTTCTGACAATAAATGCAGCTTCTGTGAAATAGCATAACTCCAATCGTGGAGATTGCTTACAGAAAGCTTATTTTTTAAAATAGAAATGGCTCATGAGAAATCTTAGGAGGGGGAGGTGAGCCATTGAATTAAAGCTATAATAGAAGCCTTTTTCCTGACTCATGAGGTTGATCATGTGCGGCTTTGTGCCAGCGCTTACTCATATCCATTTGCTTCTGGTGGATGATGGATAGCAGGGTGTGTCGTGTTTTGGGTTTCCTGCTCTGGCCAGTCAGTGATCTGTGCCAGCTTTATTTTTCTCCGGTGTAGATGCAAGTATGTTTTTTAGTTGTTGCAATTTAACATCAAACAAATTGATCTGTGGCTTTAAATGTTGTCTATATATACTTAAATGTCAGTACGCAGGTTCACTGAAACTGACAAACACAGCGTTGTATTGATGATGTCCAATGCTTTCACAGCTCTTATCCTCCCCCAGTTTAGGACTGAAAATCATTATCATGTCTAGTAATACAAACAATACTTTTTGTTGGACTGTATAATCTCAACTGTGTTACAGTGTTGCTTGTGTAATTTATTTTTTGAAGACCGCAGATAACCGACAACTACCGTATTTTTCGCTCCATAAGACGCACCTAGGTTTTAGAGGCGGAAAACAGGAAAAAAAAAATAATGAACTAATGGACTGCAGACATAGTACAGGGATGACCAGAGACTGCGGACAGTACAGGGATGACCAGAGACTGCGGACATAGTACAGGGATGACCAGAGACTGCGGACAGTACAGGGATGACCAGAGACTGCGGACACAGTACAGGGATGACCAGAGACTGCGGACACAGTACAGGGATGACCAGAGACTGGGCAGCGGACATAGTACTACGGGCAGCATGACCAGAGACTGCGGACACAGTACAGGAGATGACCAGAGACTGCGGACAGCACAGGGATGACCAGAGACTGCGGACACAGCACAGGGATGACCAGAGACTGCGGACAGTACAGGGATGACCAGAGACTGCGGACAGTACAGGAGATGACCAGAGACTGCGGACAGCACAGGAGATGACCAGAGACTGCGGACACAGTACAGGGATGACCAGAGACTGCGGACAGTACAGGAGATGACCAGAGACTGCGGACAGTACAGGAGATGACCAGAGACTGCGGACAGTACAGGAGATGACCAGAGACTGCGGACAGTACAAGGAGATGACCAGAGACTGCGGACATAGTACAAGAGAGATGACCAGAGACTGCGGACATAGTACAGGAGATGACCAGAGACTGCGGACATAGTACAGGGGATGACCAGAGACTGCGGACAGCGCAGGAGATGACAAGAGACTGCGGACAGCGCAGGGGATGACCAGAGACTGCGGACAGCGCAGGAGATGACCAGAGACTGTGGACATAGTACAGGAGATGACCAGAGACTGCGGACAGCACAGGGATGACCAGAGACTGCGGACAGCACAGGGATGACCAGAGACTGCGGACAGTACAGGAGATGACCAGAGACTGCGGACAGTACAAGAGATGACCAGAGACTGCGGACATAGTACAGGAGATGACCAGAGACTGCGGACATAGTACAGGGGATGACCAGAGACTGCGGACAGCACAGGAGATGACAAGAGACTGCGGACAGCGCAGGGGATGACCAGAGACTGCGGACAGCGCAGGAGATGACCAGAGACTGCGGACAGCACAGGAGATGACCAGAGACTGCGGACAGCACAGGGATGACCAGAGACTGCGGACAGCGCAGGGATGACCAGAGACTGCGGACATAGTACAGGGGATGACCAGAGACTGCGGACATAGTACAGGGATGACCAGAGACTGCGGACACAGTACAGGGGATGACCAGAGACTGCGGACACAGTACAGGGATGACCAGAGACTGCGGACAGCACAGGGATGACCAGAGACTGCGGACAGTACAGGGATGACCAGAGACTGCGGACAGTACAGGGGATGACCAGAGACTGCGGACAGTACAGGGATGACCAGAGACTGCAGACAGCACAGGAATGACCAGAGACTGTGGACAGTACAGGAGATGACTGCTGACCTTTGGGGAGGGGGGGGGAGTGGGTACCTGAATTTGACAGGTACCCGCTCTTACTTGCGCTGAGTTGTTCTCACCTGTTCCTCTATCCAGCCGCGCGCTGTCTTCCCGGCTTCTGTAGTGTGGGCGCTCGGCATGACAGCCGGGTGCCAGTGCGCATGGGCGAGAAGCACTTGCGCTTTGTGATTGGTCCGGCGGCTTCTGGGATCTGTCATGTGTCCCAGTTACCGCCTTACCATTCACAAAAAGCACCGCTTCCTGCGCATGCGCACTTTGCACCCGGCTGTCATGCCCAGCGCCCACACTACAGAAGCCGGGAAGACAGCGCGCCGCTGGATAGAGGAACAGGTAAGGTCAAAGAACAACTCCGCGGAAGTAAGAGCGGTACCTGTCAAATTCAGGTACCCGCTCCCCCCCCTCCCCAAAGGTCAGCAGTCATCTCCATAAGGTCCCGCTGCAGAGCTGAGCGGCCGGCCCGGTATTCTGACATGGTGGCGGTGGAAATACCGGACCGTCCGCTCCATATTCACTCCATAAGACGCACTGACATTTTCCCCCCCCTTTTTTGGGGGGAAAAAAGTGTGTCTTATGGAGCGAAAAATACGGTATGTATTTTGGTTGTTTTCTTGACTATTACAACTATACGATGCGCCTTGTTAGAGCATCTTTTACAATATCATCCCTAGCCTGCTTGAATTTCTGATCAGTGTGCCAGAGTATGATGATGTGGAAGCTGTGCATAGTACAAACATACATTTAGATGTTTACTTTGAATATGATTATAAATATATATGACAACTTGTTATCACATAAAGCAGTATTAAACCCCCAAAAACAAAATCTAATATATTGTATCTTATAAATCCTTAGATATAGTGGCTGTAGTAGATTTTTTTCATTTTTATTTTCGCCCATTTATCTAGTCAGTAAGGCAGTAATTTGTCAGCTTCCTTTAACAGACCAAGCTGTCCTGCAAAAGTGGCTTCTAGATGGCTGAAATCATTTACCAATGAGAAGGGTGCTTACAATGATTAGCTTTCATTAATTTATGTAAAGCCCTTATCCCAAAATGAATAAAAAACGGCACCTGTAATTGTTTAGAAAGTGTTAGGCTGGCCATACATTATACAATTATCTGCAGATTTTTGGTTTAGATTTACCAAAAACCATATAATAGGAGGACAAACCTAAACAACACTTTCAGTTGTATCCAATTAGGCAGGCCCTTGCACTACATAGTTGAAGGTAAATCTAAAGGAAATTGGGCAGAAAATCTGCAGATAATTGTATAATGTATGGCCAGCCTTTGTTGGCGTTAGTCTTTAATTTCTTGGTCAAGTTCATGTAAATCTGATACTGTATTTAACACAACACTCCCCCCTGGATTAATAATGCTGCTGCCCAAAGATGGCTCTGTTGCTCCTCCAATGGAGTGGAGACACCTTGAAGTGATTGTAAAGGGAACATTTTTGTTAAATAACAAACATATTACCTTTTCAGTGGAATGGTTTAGCACAGAGCAGGCTCGATCCTTCTCTTCTGGAGTCCTCTACTGGCGGTCTTGGCTCCCTCTCCCTCTGCTGAGTGCCCCCATAGCAAGCTGCATGCTAGGAGGCACTCATATGGGCTCGCTCCCAGGCCACACTCCATGTTTCCATTGACACAGACATTTCAGCTCGTCCCTGTCCTTACTTCCTCCTCACCAGCAGTGATTGACAGCAGCAGGAGCCATTGAGGAAAGAGAGCAGTGATGCTGCTCTCATGCAAAGCACAGGATCGACATCGGGACCTGCTGGGGGGGGGGTTTACATTGATGCATTTAATGCGTTAAGGTAAAACATTTTCTGCTCAAAGCTTGTTGTTACAAAACACTTAACCAGCCAAATCCCATTAATGTAAGTGGCTTATGTTCACATCTGATCATTCTGTCGCCTGTCCAAAAACTCCTGTTGCTCAGAAAAGTTCATGAGCTTTTTGGCAGATTACAGGCAATTTTGGCCCCATAGACTTCAATGGAAATGCCTGAAAACCCGAGACATGAGCGTTCTATGGGTGTTTTGTTGTATGTTTTCTGCTCAACCTGCAGCTCTCCACCACTTCCCCTCCCCCCAGTGCTTTCTATAGGCTAAACAAAAACCTCTGAAGTGGTTAAATGCTTGTAATACACTTCTAAAAATGCTCAAAAATTCTCAAATTAAAACACCTGAAAATCGCTCTGCTCTGGTGTGAATGCAGCCTAAGACAGAAGGTGTTTTACTGGCCAGATTACCAGGTGAAAAAAAACATAAATAAAACTAATGCAGCCACCATATTTAACCACTTCCTGTCCGGACACTTTTACCCCCTTCCTTTTTTTCAGCTATGTAAATAAAAATGGTCCAAAATAAAAATTTTGAAAAAAAAAATTTTTCTTATACAATTTTGCAAATAAATAATATTTCATCATAAATCTTGGCCAAAATGTATTTCGTTATCTTTATAGTAAAAAAATAAATAAGCCAAATTAGTTTATAACCAAAAATTATAATTTTTAAATGTTTTTATTTTACATTTTTATTTTTTTTATATTATTTTTTTTTTTTTTTACATACTGTCACCCTAGCAGTATAGTGTCACCATGGTGACACTGTACTACTTTTGGGGGGTGATGAAGATTTTTTTTTTTTACACTGATTGCTTTTACACCCATATAGGATATAAAAGCAATCATTTCTCTCTCTCTCTTTTTCTGCATTCTTGCAGCCATTGAGAACTACTATCCGAGTGAGCTGTGATTGGTCACAGCTTGTCACATGGTACAAGGCTGTTGTGAATAGCCTTGTACCATGTGACCTCTGTGATCATTCACAGATTTCACACATAGTAAGCAATGATGTCAGAAATGACATCTTGCTTACTACTTTGCATGTGATCACTGATTGGCCAATCAGTGATCACATGATCGGGACCTCGTACAGAGGTCCTGTCCGACGATCGGTGTTTCACTGTGTCCGGAGGACACCGCGGGCACCGGATCGCGGTGTGTGCGCGCTCCCGGGGAGCGCGCACAAGCAGGGTGCGAGGAGGCCTTTTATAAATGGCCACCCGACCCTGCAGTGCCACCGTCCTGCCGTTTA